TTATTTTTGTAGATAGGATACTCTGCTCAAAAGATATCGAATTTTTACCGTCAAGTTGATCCAACTTTTATTTAAAAAATTGAATTCACTCGTGTAACTGACATTCAAGATCGCTGGTAGCTTTAAGCGTTGTTTCTGAGAGAGCGGTTCATTTCACAGAAAAAGTGCTAATAAACATTTTCTCAGTTACAATTCTTGTTTGAAACATTTTTCCTAGGGCGTACAAATTTTTAGTAAATCGATCGGGGGGTTTAAGGGGAAGCCTGTTGGTAGGAGTGGCAAACTTTTTTGTATCTTTTTGCGGTCCCAAAATTGACATTCTTAGCACAATTCAACTTGTATGATTAGGTTCAATGGCATTTTAGTCTCTGACGATTGGAGTAGTACATTCTGACGATAGTTACTATCGTATTATCTACATTTTATCCTTATTATACCTGCTAATTCTTTAGTTGTTCATTATAAAAACAGTAAATTCTTTTCTGTTCAAATTAGCATACCAACTGTTAAAATATATTAAAGACTTGTTATCGGGTTATTGCTTTTTAATAATTCAAGGTTAATGCATATAAGTTTACCTAAACCATGCAAATAGTTGATTTCATTTCAAGGCATTAATTTTATTGTTGAAAAAAAAATAATATTTAAAACAAAACAGAAAACATAAAAATATAAATATAGAATACCTATAATATCCCAACGACTTGTAATCATATGAAATATTATATTTACATAATAAATTTAAGTAACAAAGTATAAACAAATTTACTATTTTTTATTGGGAATAAGCCATAATAATTCTCTTAAGTTTTTTGACGTTTCGATTTCCACTTCGGAAATCGTTCTCAAATTACAAAGCTCTTAGAAACTCAATGTCTTTCACAGATAAGCACGTGTCATTGCCCATGGCTCACTGCAAATGAATAATTTTATTACTCAATTCAAACCACTAATGAAATCAATATCTAGCAAGGGCAGGCGATATAAATTTAGAATCAAGTATATACCCATTTATAATACATTCTAATAATAATTTTTTCGTTCGAAATACACACTATCAATTTTTTTTGGTATTTTGGATTTTGCATAATATTAGATTAATAATATGGTTCGATGGTTTAGTGGACAGGATTTTCTTGGCGATGAGATCCGTGTTTGAATCCCACCTGGTGAACAAAAGCAAAGCTTAACATTGATGAATATCCAATAATTATTAAGAGCGGCGAAGAATAAGGAAGATTTTTATATAGTGATGATTGGAATCTTCTAATAATGGAGTGCTCCAGAAGAAGAAGAATTTTGTGGTTCCTATGCCGTCATCTAGAATTATTTCTTCGTGACATTTCGTCTGAAATTTCGGCAAATATTCTGAAAGATGATACAACAACGATCTTAACTGTAACTTTTACTGATGCTACTTCTTGAATATCTGCACTATTTGCTTATGCTGCCCGGGCTCTGACGATTGTTCCAAATCGGTATTGGAATTTCCGGCGCATCTGGAGAAAGATTTCGTATTTCGCTGTTTAGGGTGCTCTTCTTTCTCATCTTTGTCATTATCCAGGATAGGTTTTCTTCGCCAATAGTTCTAATAGCCAATAACATATCCTCTTCTTCTTCTTTAAGTTCCATCTTCTATCGAAGGTTGGAAATCATCATGGCTATGCGGACTCTGTTGACTGCCGCTCTAAAAAGTTCTGCACTACTGCATTCAAACCATTCCCTTAAGTTCTTAAGCCAGAATATTCTTCGTCTTCCCACATTTCGCTTTCCTCGGATTTTGCCCTGCATAATAAGTTGTAATAATGCGTATTTTTGCCCTCTCATCACATGTCCCAAGTACTCAAGTTTTCGTCTTTTAATAGTTAATATTATTTCCGCCTCATTTCCTATCCTTCTAGTTACTTCCATGTTTGACATTCTTGAATCCATGATATTCGTAGGATTCTTCTGTAACACCAAAATTCAAAGGCGGCCAGCTTATTCAGATGAACTTGTTTTAGTGTCCAAGCTTCCAGACCATAAAGAAGAGTAGAGAACACGTAACATCGAAGTATTCTCAGGCGTAGTTCTAACCTTATATTCCGACAACAAAGAAACTTTTTAAGTTTAATAAATGATGTACGTGCTATTTCAATACGTGTCTTAATTTCTTTGGTTTGGTCTACATCTGATGTTATCCATGTTCCTAAATATTTATAGTTATTAACATTCTCAATTGCAGTATCTTCAATAGTCAATTGGATATTTGCATGTGCAGATTTAGTCATGATCATGCATTTAGTTTTCTTTAAATTTATCTTCAGTCCGTACTCATGACAGCGTTCATTAAGGCGTTGCATTAGGTTCTGTAAATCATTGTTGTTATCCGTAATTATTACTGTATCGTCTGCAAAACGTAAGTTATTCAAAACTTCTCCATTGATAGATATACCTTCTATTGAGTCTGAGAGCGCTTCTTGAAATACCGCTTCACTGTAGACATTGAAAAGTAGTGGGGACAGCACGCAACCCTGGCGGACTCCTCTCTGTATTTTGATATTTTCGGTGTACTGGCTGTCAACTCTTACCTTGGCAGTTTGATTCCAATATAAATTAGATATAATTTTCAGATCACGACTGTCAATATTTTTGCTTTTTAATATATCTACAAGCTTTTTATGTTGAACTTTATCAAATGCCTTTTCAAAGTCTACAAAACATAAGTACATATCCTGATTCATGTCCATGCATCTCTGAGCCAGCACATTCAAGCCGAACAAAGCATCTCTTGTACTTATACCATTTCTAAAGCCAAATTGTGTGTCACTAATCTCATATTCAAGAGTTTTAACAATTCTGCTGTGAATTATTTTCAAAACTGTTTTAAGTGTGTGACTCATTAAAGCTATTGTTCTGTGGTCTGAGCAAGTTGTTGAACTTGGTTTTTTGGGAATTGCTACAAAGGTTGATTGCAGCCATTGTCTGGGGATTGTGGCAGTCTGATATATTAGATTAAAGAGTTCAACCAGTACATCAATAACATCTTCATCGATGAGTTTTAATAATTTGATGGGCACCTCATCTGGTCCAGTAGCTTTACCCTCTTTTGTGTTTTTGATGGCATAGATGACTTCTTCTCTTAATATTGGTGGTCCAGTATCCTCGGTGATTTCTAATGACAGTTCTTCTCTTTCATCATTAAATAGTTGTTGAATGTAACTGGTCCAGTGACATAATCTCTCCTTCATATCAGTAATAATATCCCCTTTATCATTTTTAAGGATATTCGTTTTTGTACGCTTTCTAGAACATATCCTCTACACTTAGTCAATTGCAGTCGACGTTAAACTGTAGGTTACGTGTATCTGTCTATGCACAGTGAGGCACAACACATATACAGAGTATTATATGCAGAGTAGTTACTTGCGCCTTAAATTGGGTATGAACATTAAGAACATGTAGGTACACTAATGAATTACATAAAATGCTGTAACAGAAAATTATAAAAGTTGCACATGTAGGGTTATAAATGATCTAAAGTTTATTAGAAAGAAATAGATAAGATATAGAGACAAGTCATCATGTTATAAAAGATACTATAAAATAGAATGTCGTTGGAATGAGCTCATGGCAAGACAATCTAAAAATGAATGGGTACACAGAGTAACAAAAAGAAGATCAAGACACACGAAAGGGTATGCCTCAGAAAAAAAAAAATAGGTTGATGATATTCAAATTGCTACAACACAATGGACACAACATAGATCTCAGTGGAGTAACTTAGGTTATGACTTATGTTAAGTGTTCATTGTGATCCAATGTTTAGATTAGTTGTTGTAGCTGTGATTAGTTTAGTGTGGATTTCTTTTGTGATATAGAAATCAACTGGTGTGGTATTTAGATGTGGCCCGAAGGTCACTATGTGGGTTCGTCTGTTGACTAGTAATTAAACAGCTCAGAACCTTTAGTGGTTCTAACTATCGTTACCCAAATTTTGCGTGTTTAACATTATAGTCAGCGCCTGTTTTGAATTTGTTTTTAATAGTTTTGAAACATTGTTTATACTTGTTTTTTTTTATTGTTGTGTTAGAGAGGGCAGCATCGAGAGTGCAACCAGTTATAAATATCTGTTATATTTGAGAAATAGCAATCTTAAGTGAATCTCAGTGAGATCGTTGCCACATTGCTTTTGATAAGGTCTGCTGAGGTTACAAACAAAACGTCACGAAGAGATAATTCCAGATCACTACTTATAGATTCCAAAATAGAATATCGGGAAAGAAATAAAAAACAGAATTTACAAAACAGTCAACAGACCAATAACATCTTCTTGTAATGAGTGCCTATCCGTTTCGGATGTTGGCGACCATAATGGCAATCTGTATATGGATTTTTCAGCCAGGAAATCTTTCGCCTTCCCGATCCTCGTTTTTCTTCTACTTTTTCTAGTAGAATTAATTGCAGCAACCCATATCCTTTGCTGTTCTTCATGATGTGACCAATTTATTCGATTTTAGCCGTTTTTGTCAAGATTAACAACTCTTTAATAATGACATACGCGGCAGAAATACAACCTGACACATACAGGACAGAAAGGATGTTAGAAACAGCAGAGATAAAAATACTTAAAAAAAATGAGAGTAGAACACTAGAAGTACATATATACAACATAAATGCAAAGTGGAGAACATTAAAGACTGGGTAAAAATAGAAAAGTAGAATGGAACGATCATATAAGCCGAATGACAACAAATGAAGGAGCAAAGACCACAAGAGAAGATTCCCCAATAGGAAGACCACGTACACGATGGAATGACAACTTACTGGATGCACATTGAAAAAGAGACAGAGTCATGTCTACTTAAAAAGAAAAGAACAAGAAAAATATTTTAAAAATACTTGTTATTTGTGTTATATATTCTAGCCAGGTTTTTAAAAGTTTAGTTGTTTTAAATTGTTTACAATTGTCATAATATAAAAATAATTAAATTAACACTATTTTCTATTTTTTTTTTCAGTTGGGTGTTGCATTAGGCTTTCTACTACCTCCAATATTTGTAAGTTCTGATTCAACTATTGACCAAATGACACATGACTTTTATGTTATGTTTATATCTGTCGGTGCGTTCACCACAGTACTTCTTCTGATTATTATTTTATGTAAGTATAATGAAGAATATATTTGTTTCTATTGATTATTAATTTAGTGGACAAGGGCACAGAAATACAAAAGTAGTAGTAGAAAATCAGGATGATTGACATATATACTTGCTATTAATTTAACTGTATTTATTCAAGCGCCCATACAAAAACTGAAGATGATGCCATATTTACGACTGATGTAAAGAATTCGCAGTGTTGCTGAAAATTAAAATATGGCACTGACTATCAGAACAAGAGGACTTTGTCTAGAATATATTAATCTAATAAAATGTAAACTATTAAAATAATCTCGACATAAATCGCTTTAGACGGAAAAAGAGTAACATGATGACCATGGAATAGATCGGATAATATGTATGATAATATGATACGTGTTTTTACATGTATAAAACTATAACTTATAACTTATAGAATCTTAAAAAAAAAGATGGAACAAGTCGGAGAAATACAAAATAATAAATTGTATTAAATTTTCAGATATCCAAGGGATATCTGACAAGGGATTTGAAAATTAGTTTACTTCACGAACTATATAGAAATGATTGAGATCGGTATTCGGATTCGGATGAGCACTTTTACCTAAATATGAAGTTTGCCGTCAAAGCTGTTGCCATTGTTCGGATAACAATCCGGAAATAGTTGTTGACGTACACATTTAATATTTCATTCAACCACAGAAACTCCACGTTTATACAGGAATTTTCGGGGATCACATTGTTAGACTAGAAGCTCTAAATTAGAACTCTGGATGGCAAACTGTATCTGATTTATTTTTTAAATAATATTAGACCCACTTTAATAGTCATAAATGGGAAAGACGATTATTATTGTAAAAAAAACTAAATTTTTCAATAAGATGGGGCCCATCAATTTTTAGCTATACCTTTGACACAATGTTTAAAAAGACATTTTAAGAATATATCGGAAAAATCGGATTGGACTTTTTTGTGGAAACATTCATTAATTACTATTTAACGGAATAAGCCACAATTAAAGGTAAAATTGGTAATATGTAGTAGGATCTGGTTACCAATATTGAAAGAGGAAGTTATTAATAAGAAAATGTCAGTATTAGTAAGTCAGTAACATATAGAGGATACATCATTTATGTTTTTTAAATAACGAAACATATAAAATCAGAATTTAGTGTTTATTGAAGGTAAACTAAATGCACGACCAAATACTTAGCATGTCGGGATAGTATTATGAGGTTTTTTTCCTGGTTTTTACCTCATAATTTACTATGGAATCACTAACAGGATAATTTTACTGTCATCATGTCATGTGTTTGTCTTTTTAAAGACTAATTACATGCTATGTTTTTTTGCTGACGGATATTCTCAAGTTAACGTTGATTTCATGTAATCGAATGAACTATCTTATAAGTAAAGTCTTCCCAGGAGCGCAACTCAACAATATTGGCAATATCATTTTAAAGTTGTCTACTTTAAAATGCATAATGTATGTCTGAATTGTCAATAGAAATGAGTCAGATAAAATTAAATTATTAGAAGAATTTTTCACTATGTAACAAAAAACAAAATTTGTTTAATTTACTGTTTGTATTTTGAGAACGATTTCCGAAGTGGAAATTGAAACGCCAATAGACGTATTTTTACCTTTAATTGTGGCTTATTCCCAGTTAAATAGTAATTAATTTAAAATGCCATAAGAAAATAGCTTCAGAACAATATTAAGAAACATTCATGGACAAAAATGTACGTAACACAGCTCAGATTATGTCTCCATTATAACTGCATAAAAGTTGGTGGTGGAAAATTCGAACATCTAATACAATGAATAGCGAAATGGGTTACAGTCAGGGCTATAAGCAAAATACACACACACACATTTCAATAAAAGGAACTTAATGCAAATATGTGCATTTGATAATATACATCTTTAACTTGTTTTTGGTTAGGACGATGACTAGAGTTGTGGTTAAAAAGATAAATATCTAAGTAACCTTTAAAATGATGTATCACACGGTACACCTTTCTATTTAATGTTTTAAAGATGAAGGCCACTCCTGATTTGGGTGTTGATTTAGGAAAATAATTACATTTTCAAAATATATTCTCCTAAAAATGAAAATAGATGGGTTGATTTTTCTATTATTTAACGCTTTAATCCTATTTTTAGGATCTGGTCTTAGTTATGAGTAATGAAGTAGTTAAGTCATACGTAATTTTTATAATTGTCAACGTCATGTACTTCAACAGAAATGTATTAGATTTAATTTCAATGCACGGCATCCGCCAGCCGCTATACGTATTTGAATCTTAGGTATCATCAGAACGCCAATGCAGAGGCTCTGAATAAACATTTTATTCAGAATGTAATAAAAAATAATAAAGTATAATTTTAAAATTAGAATAAAAATTACGTATTTCTAAAAGTTGATGTATATAAGTGATTTGTTTTTGCACTTCTTGAACCTACTAGAGAGGTTTTACATGGAAAACATCTTTATTTATGTTTATGTGTTTCTCTCATATTGTCCTATTGTTTTAGTTTATATCTCTTGATCTGCAGATTATACAAGAATTTTTATCAATCAACATAATTTAAATATTGTGAGATTTAATTGGTAGAAAAACTTTTTACATACTTTTAATTAACAAAATCTGATTGCATTTATGTTTTTTAGTTTTTAAAGATAAACCACCGACTCCACCTTCACATGCTGCTCTTCAACAAGAATCAGAAACGATCGATTTTATGAATTCGTTAAAAGATTTGTGTAAAAATAAATCCTTTATGTTCTTGTTGGTGGCTTATGGAATAAATGTTGGAGTATTTTACGCAATATCTACTCTTCTTAATCAGATTGTATTGCTTTATTATCCAGTAAGTACAACTATTTTTGACATGAACTGCGCGTAAGAGTTAGGTATTCGTAGAAAGTATTTAGAAATAGAAAAAAATCAAAAATAAACAGGAATTTTTTTTTAATTTTAAATAAATTAACACCAGTGCAGCTATTTTATGTCAAAAACCTTGTCTTTCAACTAAAAATTCGTAAAAAATGAAAAAACGTTAAGTCTAAAAATTTTAAATATGTAGTGTGTCCTGCACAATCTTTAATAACTGTTTGTAAGTACACGTTTTTTGGCTAAGTTTTTAAGACTAAATATTTTAGACCACTAAATTATTAAACACAATTTTCCTGTTTTAATAACGTTACTGCTGACTGACCATATTAATCACCATCACAATAAAAATCAATAAGTCTATGTGGGTATTGAAAATAATTTCTTCAAAAATACCCCCGAAATTAAACACTATCTTAAATAAGAGTATGCTACTAGTTCTAAGCTGGCATGGTAATTCTCGGCCTTCCTGTTCTAACGAATTTCGTTCTAACCTTTCAGTTCAAACCAATATTTTTGATTTAGTTATAACATTTAACTAACCAGAGGCTACACTTTCCAATTCATTTTCCTACATCCATTGCTCAGCCCCTCATACAAATCCCAATCCACCATACCAAAGACCTCACTGGCCGCTACATAACTAACTTCCTTTTTAACATTGGTTTACGCTATATAGAACAATTTCTGCTTGTTAAAGATTTTTTTCTACGTTCTATACAATTCATAATCATCTTGAACAGTTGACAAATATGTCTTCCAAATCCCTGACATAAAAATGTAGTAATAATTTTTTGTGAATAATACATGCATGTAGTACATTTGTATACTTTCATTTGATCTGAAAATTATCAAAAGTTTTGTGGCAAATATTTTTTTTTGAATATTAGTGATACATATACTTCTTCTTCTTAGAGTGCCGTCTCCCTACGGAGGTTGGCAATCATAATGGCTATTTTTATTTTAGAACTTGCTGCTCTAAACAAATCAATCGACCTGCATTGGTACCAATCACGTAGATTCTTTAACCATGAGTTCTGCCTTCGGCCAACAGATCTTCTTCCTTGAATCTTTCCCTGTATTATCAGTCTCAAAATTTCATATTTTGGTCCTCATCATCACGTGGCCTAGGTATTCCAGTTTTCTGGTTTGTATAGTGGTGATTAGTTCTGTTTCTTTACCAACCCTCTCCACTTCTTTATTTGTAATTCGATCAATCCATGATATTTTCAATACTCTGCGGTATAACCAGAGTTCGAAGGCCTCGATTCTTTTTAAATTACATTTTTTTAATGTCCAAGTCTCAGCTCCATATAATAATATTGAAAATATATAACAGCGAATGGTACGTAGTCTGATCTCCAAATTTAGATTTTTGCACGTTAGGAGTGGCTTCATTCGTATAAATGCTGATCTGGCAATCTCTATTCGTCTGTTTATTTCTACAGTATGATCATTGGTTTCATTGATCAAAGTTCCCAAATACTGATATTTTTCTACTTGTTCTATCACGTTACCATTTATTGTCAATAAGTGATGTATATTTTGTGGCCTTTTTGTAATCAGCATGTACTTCGTTTTTTTAGCGTTTATAGTAATTCCCATCTCAGCACTATTTATACTCAAGCTTTCGATAAGATGTTGTAGATCCTCTATACTCGTTGCTATGATCACAGTGTCGTCTGCATATCTTAAATTATTAATTAATTTTCCGTTAACGGTGACTCCTGCTTCGATATTATTGAGCGTGTTTTGGAAAATTTCTTCAGAATATAAGTTAAACAAAAGTGGTGATAACACACATCCCTGTCTAACTCCTCTACAGATCCTCATTTCTTCTGAGTGTTGCCCATCAATTTGAACTATGGCACTTTGGTTCCAATGTAATGTTTGCACTATATTTATGATTTTACTGTCAATGCGCTTGTTCATAAGTATTAATATTAGTTTTTCATATCTTACCTACTTTATCGAAAGCTTTTTCGTAGTCAACGAAGCACAAGTGTAGATCAACATTTACATCCCGACATCGCTGAATTAATATGTTGATGGCAAATAGTCCTTCTCGAGTACCCATTCCATTTCGGAACCCTCTCCTCTAGCCTTTCGTATATTCTCTTATGTATTATTTTTAGCAGAACTTTTAAAGTATGACTCATGAGGCTCAGTGTTCGATAATCAGAGCACTCTTTTGCTGCTTGTTTTTTAGGGATGGTTATAAATGCTGACTTTAGCCACTCCTGTGGTATTATTCCCGTATCGTACACCGTGTTGAATAAATCTGCCAATACTTCCAAGTTGTCCTCTTCCACTAGTTTTAAGAGTTCTACTGGTATTTCATCTAATCCAGCTGCCTTATTGTCTTTAGAGTTTTTGATAGCATATTTGATTTCATCTATCGTGATCTTCTGTACCTCTAAAGGATTTAATTCTTGTATTTTCTGCATTTCACCTCTTTCATCTTGGAAAAGTTCTCTAACGTACTCCTCCCATCGCCTTAACTTCTCTGGTAAATCTACTAGTAGTACTCCTTCTTTGTGTTTTATGTGTCCTTGCTGTCTATTTCGACCCATTCCAGTCACTTCTCTAATTTTTTTGTGCATATTTCTCATATCATATTTTGTTTCTAGTTCTTCTATCTCTTTACATTGCTTCATCAAATAGATTTCCTTAGCTGTTTTGATTTTTTCCTTAATTATTCGTTGTATTTCTTTATACTTCTGTAGATCTTTTCCTTTATATTTCCTTCTTTCTTCCATCAGTAATAGTATTTCTTCTGTCTTCAGTGTTTTTTAGCCTCTGATTTATGTTCTATTAACTTTCTTGAGCTGGTTTCAGTAATGTGTTTTTTATATTACACCACTTTTTATTTACATCCATAATTTGTTTGTTGTCAGTTAGTGTTTTTTGCATATTAACATTCACATTATTTTTTATTTCGTTTTTTATTTCTTCGTTTTGTAGCATTCTTACGTTAATTTTTGGTTGTTGTTTTCTGAGTTCAATTCTTTTTAATTTTATTTTCGCGTCAGCCACTAGCGGATTGTGGTCTGAGTTAACATCTGCTCCAGGATAAGTTTTAGCTGAGGTTATAGAGTTTTTATATCTGCTATTTACGAGTATAAAGTCTATCTGGTTTCTAACAATGTGGTTTTCTGTATGTGAAGGAAAGTTCCATGTATATAGTCTTCTTTTAGGAAGCTAAAACCAAGTATTGGCAATTACCATATTCTTTTCTTAGCAGAATTCTATGAGCCTTTCTCCTCTCTCGTTTCTAGTTCCTAGTCCGAACTGTCCAACTATATTTTCAACTGTACCTACTCCAATTTTTGCATTAAAATCTCCTAAAATGTAAGTAATATCTCTAGATTTTGTTAACTTGATTGTATTGTGCAATTCTAAATAAAAGTTTTCGATCTCATCTTCGGTCTTATCAGCAGTGGGAGCGTAAACTTGGATCATATTAATATTACAGTTCCGTGCTTGAATTTTTGAATTTTGATACATATACAGAGTGGACCAAAAGCCTGCAAAACCCTTATTATTTCTTAAATGGATGGTCCGAACTCAGAATTGAACAAAAACTGGGATACGACTATTCTGCGATATAGAAATTTAAAATTACGATGTCGCCAGATTTATCATTTTTGTAATATTATTAGTTACTTTGGTTTTTTTTAAATACAATACTCCGCATATTGTATTATCATTGGAATCTCCACTTCAATACGACTTCAACCATATGAAACACTTGGCATTTTATCTAGTCACGAAGGTCTTGAATAAAGAAAACTTCTGAGTGACAAGAACATAAACGCTCATAAGGCATTCATTGATCTGGTCCCTAGTGAATATTTAAAGATTGTGAGAAACATCTATGAGGGAGTAACAACTAGTGTTGTGACAGGTGTGGGAGAGACTAATAAATTCCTTGTGAAAATAGAACTGCGCTAAGGCTCGGTACTTACCTCCTTATTTATTCTCATTATTTTGGATCAAATAACAGCGAAAATAAAGGGTAACATTTCGTATTGCTTAATGAATGCTGATGATATAGTGTCAGTAGGAAATAGTAAAATAGTACTTAGAACAAAAACTGGAACAGTGAAGACAAGCTCCTAAGAAAAATGGTTTAAAACTTAGTAGGACAAAAACGGAGTATTTGGAATGTTAATTTAAAAATGGGGTTACTACAAATAAAATGTTATAAAAAATAATCGTTTTAGTGATCTAGGAATGGTATTACAGAATAACCGGAAAATAGCGGGTGATCTGTTATGTTAAAGAAAAATTCCAATGAAGCTTAACCCTTCAACGGCGAAATTTATTTTTTGCAAAAAAGGAAAGGAAAAATCATAAATATTGGTCAAAACACTTTATTAAACATATTGGTACAAGTATTTTTCTCAAAATATATGTAATTTAAAAAAAAATAGTCGTTACGTTTTGGGAACGCTAGCCGGTTAGGGTATACAAAAAATTTTTGGACAAGAAAATTATCACTTTGGGCTGTGAAACATTATATTGCACTCTAGACATAATCCTACATCACATTTGACACACATAGTACGAATACTTGAGCTACAACCTTCTCCAGCACATCGACGCCTCTTATTATTGGGGATGTTTATCAAAAAATGGTCTGTTCTGTCATATCTCAAGTTATCCGAAACCCTATTAAAAGATAAACTTGATTTAGCAGCCGCAGGTCTTCCAGCACCTTTTGAAGCCATGCCATATTTTATCAGATAGGCTTGAGCAATCTCTCGTCTGAATTCTAGTTGGGTAAGCTGTGTTTGATGTTTACACTTCTTGGATATACACCAAGCATTGACTATAGCAGCTTCTAGTAGCCAAGTAAAAATTGACCACCACCACTTCTTTCTACGAATTGAAATCCTGTATCTGGATATCTGCTGGTCCATGAAGTCAGTGCCTCCCATAAATCGATTATATTCAGAAATCAGATAAGGTTGTGGTACTTGAATAATTTTTTTTTCGGCTCGAGAGTAGCGTTTTACTTGAGTGACTGGATTGACGCCATGACATGTAGATGCTACTGTCACTACATTATTATCCATCCACTTGACTAATATTATTGCATCTTCTTTGTCGATGATTGATATCGTGTCTCCTCTTTTTTTCGATTTCGAAATAATACTTTTTTTAGGTAACTCACAACTTGTAGGAATTCTATTTTCCCTCATAGTTCCCGTACCATCATACCCTCTTTGTTTCAAGGAATATAACAAATTAAAGCTTGTGAAGAGATTGTCGAAGTAAAATGTGAACGGGAGCTTTTTTATATCATCCGAAAATTCATCTATCATGCAAAGTAGAGGAGCAGCACATTTTCCAAAATTGCTTTCGTAACTAGTGTTTGACTTTGGGTTTTTTCCTTGATATATATCAAAGTTCACCAAATAACCAGAAGCAGAGTTTAGGCACCACATTTTATACCCAAATCTGATGGGCTTACCCCGAATAAACTGTTTACATGAATGCTTCCCAAAGTATTTGATCATAGCCTCATCGTAATTCAAGTTCTGTTCAGGTATCCAGTTGTCAATAAAGCGGCGTTTCAAAAGGCCCATCAGTGGGCGTAGCTTCCACATTTTGTCACCATGTACAGGCTGTGTGTTGTCGGCGCAGTGCAAATATTTTAAAATTTGGCGAAACCGATCTCTTCTCATAGATTCAGTGACTAAAATATTTTTCATATCTTGTTTGGAATCCCAGTAAAAGTCCCTTCCAGGTAACTCATTATATCCTGTAACAATCATAATCCCAATTACACATTTCATTTCTTCGTTAGAAATGTTTGGATCCGGTTTATTGCAGAAAAGTGCGTATTTTCTTGATTCGGTCACAAGTAGTTCAATTATTTCGCTATCAACAAACATCTCGAATATATCTAAATAGTCCATATCACTATATTTACTATAATCTGGTTTAGGAAAATACCTGCTCACACGTTCAAAGTCACCTTCAATCCAGGATATTTTTTCTGACCCAGGGCGGACGATATTTGACACTGGCTCCGATTCAGGTACATCGATAAAAGCTCTGACAGCACGAGGAGGGACGATTTCAGCTCCTGGTGTCAACTGTTGACCGCTTAAATTATCTAGCAATCCGCCACCATCTTCATCATCAGAAGCCTCATCGGTAAGGACATTCGCATCAGGAGGCTCGATGAATATTTCATGAACGTCCAGGTCTTCTTCATAAACCATTTGCAATGCTTCTTCCAGCGTAAACCCACGCCTAAAAGTAACAAATGAATATACTAGACAATTATTAATACATAAACAAGAGTCCTAGCTTTTCTGATCGCATATATACCACATACTCAACATGCAAGACGTGTACAATATTTTTTGTCTCCCTAAACCAGCTAGCGTTACCATACGGTAACGCCAATATTTCTGAGGTTACATTATAGAACTTGAAATACTTTCATAACAAAATTTGGTCTAGAACTGATAAATAACTATCTATAAATACTCTTTTGTAAGTATTTTTCATAACAATTCAAAAAAGAAGTTTTAGTAATACTTACTCTAGACGGATGTCCATCTTTGGAAGCTCGTAACTGTTACCACAATTTTTAAAATTTGAATAAAACTGCCAAAAAGATTTTACGTTGACGTTGTACCCAACAATGTGTTCATTCACATACTAAAAGCGTGTTGACAAATAACCAACGCATTCCGATGGAACCAAAAGCTGTGTTGCCACTTCTAAAATGAGGTTGTCTACCGTTACGATATGGTAACGCTAGCCGTTTAAGGGTTAAGGAAAAATTATAAAAAAACAGCCATACGACCAGCTATGATGTACGGAACTGAATGTTGGCCAGTTAAAAAGAAAGAGGAATAACGATTGAATGTGGCGGAAATGAGAATGCTTAGATGGATGAGTGGAGTGACAAAAAAGGATAATATTAAGAATGAGTATATTACGTCAAGACGTTAATCACCCAATTAGAAGAATAGCTGATCTGCGGGTTCCTAGAGGGAGTAGGAGAGGAAGATCAAAAAAGACCTGGGGAGACGCTTAGGAGGACATGTAGGTGAAGGGGATTATTATTGCTATAATTTAAAATAGAAACTTATGGAAATGTAACTAGGAACGCTGACCCCGCATAAAGGCAAAATAATGATTATGATGATAAGTATGAAATAGTAATCGTAATCTTCGTAATCTACGTGAATGGTTCGGGTGTAGTTCGATTGAACTTTTTAGGCGCGCTGCTAACAAAGTCGAAGTGGCCATGATGATTTCCAATCTCCGCTAGGAGTGGCACGAGAAGAAGAATGAAATAGTTTTAACTTGACGTTTATTGAAAAGTTTAGTAAAATTACAATAAAACTTAAGATTTAATGCAGAATTTCGTTGAAGATCCACATACATGTAGAAATATGGAGAAATGCAATATATTTACTTATTCTACCTTCATTTAGGATATTGTTAAATTAACAACGGAGAACATTTTAAACACTTGATTAAGTAGACAATAATGTAGCAATGTAGTAACCTTTTAATTATTAAAATAAAGACAGCTCAGATTTGATTTCACGTATAGTCCCTCTGTATATTCGCTTATACGTATTTCATCCTAACAGGACTCAACGTAAAAACAATCTTTCCCGTCCAAAACAAGCAACAATACAATGGTTTCAGTATGGACGCTATAGCGACATCTGATAATAAATCACGAAAGTAGAAATCAGAAGATTTCTATTGACGAAACCAAAATTCAAATTTTCCCTTTAGTCTGTTCCTTCTAAGACTTGCAAGGTAAAACAGTCGATGTTAAAGATGTAAAGAGAGAAAATGAAGAATCTAAAAATTGCATTCTATAACATATCTCCTCATCTAAGTAAAAATCCTTGGCGAATAGGTTTCTTGAACTGGTACTTAAGTGGAGATTTCAATAGAGGTACAATATACAAAGTGTATTTAATTAACCAAAGTGACTAGTGATATCAGAAAAATGGTAAATCTGGCATAGTTACAAACATCAAATTTCAAATCTTCAAATTGCAAAATACATAGACGTATCCCTGTTTTTTTATTATTCGGACAATCCATTTAAAGAATAATTAGGCGTTTCCAGACTTAATAGTAGCAGCATTGCTTTTATATAAAATCTAATAAAAATATATTTTATGTATATATTTGGCATTCGTATGGTATTTATTTATGTAATGTTTCTTAATTTTCTTTGATTTATAAATATCTTACTGATGTCAACTTTAGTTCTTGCCGCTTTTAGCGTGTTCAAAACATATAAGAAAATAAAATATTTATGTATTTTAGGGAGCTAGTGCAGACGCTGGTAGAATTGGGCTCGTCATTGTGGTAGCTGGTATGTTAGGATCTGTGTGTTGTGGTATTATACTTGACAGATACCATAAATTCAAGTAAGTAGTAGGTCAAACTGTTTTGACAATGTTTATTCCATATATCCATATTAAGCACTGAAAAAATGGCTATTACCACAACAGTGTTTTAGACTTAGAAATCACAGGTGGATGAAAATATCCGTTGACCGATGACCGTTACTTGATTAAAGTTAATTTTATCTAGCATTAAAACACTAAAAACGTTTGTTTTCAACAGTTTCACAACATTTATTATAATTTATTATCATTAAGCTGTTTCGCCAGAATGCCTTTCTTAAGTGAGCTATTTTTTATGCACTTTAATAGTCTTTACTGAATAAGTTGAAGAGAGGAGAGCTATTTGTTTTAAGTTGGTGATTCAGAATGACATCATATTTTTTTTAATTTAATAATTTCCATAGATTCTACTAAAGATAGCTTAAGGCCTTTATTTTGAATATGGAGAATTTAAAATAGGTCACTAGAAGGTTGATTATGATCTAGAAGGTAAAATGCGTGCTAGTTCTGTTTTTTTAGTTCTTTTGTGTTCCTCTATACATTTTTTTAAAGGTTCTACCAGTTTGGCCGATGTAAGTTTTTGGGAATTCACCACTTGTAGGTTTATATAGGTACACTAGTGTTAAAGTGCTTTTTCTTTTGGCTCTTATTGTTCTTAATATATTTGCTTAAGTTGTCGTTTGTTCTGAGAGAGGTGTTATTCTTTTCTTTTTTATGTGTTTGGTTACTTTTATTGATATCTTGCGTAAATATGCAATCGAGCAGAAGATACTAGGTTTTTATCTGAAAATAGAAATACTGCTTTCAGGGCTTGCAGTTATTGGTTTAAAAATTTTGTTTATTGTTTGTTCGTTGTACACATTGTTTACTGCTATTTGCTTAATGATATTTAATTATATCTCCAAGTAATTTTTCGACATGGGCATTTCTGTTAATATATCCAATATGTTTGTATGTAAGTTAATTAATTACGGAGAAACCCATGTATTTTTTTTCAAATCCGATATTTTTTAATACTACAAAATTTATGGATTGATTCTGTTCTGTTTCTGTTGTAAGTTCAATATTACTATGGAGTAAATTAATATAAGATAAGAATTGGTCAAATTGTCTGTTAGTTCCAGTAAAACATACCAGTATATCGTCCATGTATCTCTACCAATATAAAAACTGTTTGAATACGGAATGTTTTGAAATCTTTGTTTCTAGATGATCAATAAAAATATCTGATGGCAATGGGTATGGGCGCCGCCATCATTGTTTTTAGGTAAGTGCATCTGCATCTACACATATTATTCAATATAAAATATAGAACTATAAATGTACTTAAATTTTATGGATTATCTAGAAACAGAGATTTCAAAACATCGCATACTCAAACAGTTTTTATATTGGTAGAGATATGTGGACGATATACTGGTATGCTTTACAGGAACTAACAGACAACTTGATCAATTCTTATCTCACATTAGTTTACTCCATAGTCATATTAAAGTTACAAAAAAAACAGAACAGAATCAATCTATAAATTTTCTAGATTTAAAAATCTTGACTTGAAAACAAAGATGAGTTCGCCGTATTTCATAAACCTACCCATACTGATATAACTAAACACAATTCATCTTCATATCTTACACAACATAAATTGGCAGCCAACCATAGCTTGTTACATCAAAATGCCAGAATAAGGTAAGGTAATTGACCCTATAATTGACACCTTAAGACATAAAACCGTTTAGAACTAGGTTATAATAGTGACCCCAAATTTGACAGCAAAATTTTGATTTTGTTCATAAATTTGACATGAAATTGTACCCAATTTTGACAGTGTCCCAAAAGTTGACAGTGGGTTGTATCTATATTTGACATACATTTACAATTTTCAAAATTAATTGTCAGAAGTCTCAGTACTTACTTACTTAGGGAATATAAAATTGATAATAATAATTGTGTCAGGTGATAAGTATATACACTTTTTTTACTGAAAATAAAATTTTTATTCTCAATAACAACGTACAAATAATACCTACATACTTAGGTATCTACATATTTTAGGTAAGTATAGGTACCTAAGTAGAGAAAAGCCATCTTTTTATGTCACGAAACTACAATATTTTCCGATTTCTGGTATGGAATAAATACCTCTATTATTTATTGGTGTTGGAATATTTATTTTTTCTACAATGTCTTCTGCAGAATACCAAAGTTCGTCTGGCTCTGATGGCCACTTCCAATAATTCAGTCCACTTGCCACCATAGCACTAACAAAAAAACCATTGTAATTTGAAATTTTCTTGACCTTTCCCGGGAATTTTTCACCCTCATAGCGAACTATAACGTAGTCGGTCACATTAATTTCAGATTTTGGAGTAGTGTCCTTCTTTTCGACACCGACTGAATTATCTTCAGTATTTTTTCCATTTAAAAAAATATTCTTCTTCACAAATTCAACTGCACTAGGTCTATAAAGTTTCTTTGCTGATCTTTTCTCCTTTTCTTCTTGAAGTTGAAGTTTTTTCTCCTCTCGCTTTCTTTTTCTATCTAGAATTGCATTCTCTTTCTCAGTTTTCTCGTTTTCCTTTTTCAAATAATATTCTTTCCACTGTTCTGAGGAACATACCCTTGGAACTTTTTCTTTGACAACTCTTCCTGATTTTTTGTTTGTACTTCCATCTGGCCAAAACAAAATAGATTTAAAAGGGGAGGGTATCAATAGAGCATCCTTGTTATTTTTTAAAATCATGTTCTTATTTTTCTTTGCTTCGTCTATCTCTTCTTTATCGTTATTTTTGACGATTTCTTTCTCTATTGTTTCAACTCCCTTAACTGTTATTTCATCGCTTGCTTGCTCGCTACATTTCTCACTATTATCCAAAGTTATATTTGTCTTTTCTTTTTCTTTCCAATTTGTTTCTCTTACTTTAGTTGTCTCATCACTTAGTTTCTCGCTATATTTAATTTTCCCATCAGCCTCGAAAATCGTTTCTTCTTCTCTTTTGTTTCCTACTATTTCTATTATTTTGGTTACATTCTCATTATCCGTTTGCTCCACATATTTGCTACCGTTTTCCAAAACTACATCTTTTCCCTCTATCACTCTATCAATACTAACGATAGTCTCATAGTGTGGTGCTTGTTCTTCACCTTTCTTACTAGGATCTAAAATAATAGTATCTTCTTCATCTAATGTTGTTACATTTGCCTCTCCACTTTCCTTGATGACTACTTCATTTTCTCCGTTATCTAAAATTTCTTGTTCCTCTGTTTCAATATCTACATCTTCCCAATTTATGTCCTCCAACAAAACATCATGTGCAACCTCTATTATTATATCCTTCGAGACCTCTCCTTCAGGGTGCTTGTTTGCTTGTACCTTTTCATTCAGATTCTTCCAAAGAAAAAATAAGTTTGTATCTTCTACTTTTCCATTCCATTTAGCCAATTTCACCTTAGCTCGAAAACTCTCAAGTAGATTTTTGTCTAGAAAAGATTATATGACCCTTAAAGCACCTATTAAATCATCTTTAACAACTTTATTTGATTTCAAGTGGCATGTATCTTGTACATCTGAGAGAGTTGATGCAATTTCATTTCTCAACACTTTTGAGAAATCGACACTATTAACGTCGAATGGATATAATCCACATTTCCTAAACGCATTTTTCAGTATTTTCTCTTGTCCAGAACCAAGAACTTTCTGCAAAACTTTATTAAGCATTGGCGCAAAATCTTCTTTTTTAAGGGTTTGTTTTTTATTTTCTAGTCTCCAAGCATGAACTTCATTTTGCCACCCACTTTTTAATGGATGAAAAACGCCCACATCCATAGGTTGTAAAATGTGAGTGGCGTTAGACAGAAGACTTATCAGTATGATATTCTTTTCGAAACAAAAGGCACTTAAATTGTAGGTTAAGTGGGACTTACCTGTTATTAGTGTAGTGATACATTCCTTGTCATTTGCATTTGAATAGCTGTATACTATTTTTGATCCTTTTTTTAGTAAGAACTTTTTTGCCCTTTGGCGACAAGAAAAAGGCTGTTTCATCAGCGTTAAATATTTGTCTGGGATTGATGATTTTAATGTTATTTGCAACAAAATATTCATTGATTTCCTCAAACCACTTTCGGATATTTGTTTCCGAGACAGCAGACCTAGAGCTTGTTAGGTTTTGGGTCATTCGTTGACTTAATTCCGGATGTCGCTGCAAAAATCCTTCAAACCAATGTCTACTAGGTCTACCATTTGTAAAATTATTAGGCCTCTTCAACCTTTTCACAAGCAAGGCAACACTGTCTAATAGTTGGTCTTTTGTTATGGGAAAACCGGTTTTAGCAACATTTATTATCCAATCCTTTAATAGACTTTCTTCGCCTTCAGTTAATACAGTGCTTACACCACTTTTGCATCCCATAGGAAATTTTCCTGACACTTTGTACATCAAAGTGATACGTGGCACATTAAATTGTTTAGCTGCTGAAGCACAAGACATTCCATTTTTACAGGCTTCTACAGCTCTACTCAGATCCTCCTGAGAATATTTTCTATAAATATTTCCCTTGTTAGGCATCTAAAAATAAGAGTTATCTTAGTTATGCTTACTTATTAACAAAATAATGCTAAATTAATTCAATTTTTCATAAAGCAACTTTCGTGTACCTATTTTTGACACCCCTTGATCTTAAATTTGACTGGGGTGTCAGATTTAGGTTTTTAAAACATTGGTAATGAAATATACCAAAAAAGGATAACTATACGCAATTTCTGTGAGATGGATACAGAAAACGAACATATGATATTAATAGTTGGGTGTCCCTAAATTTGACACCTACATGTCAAATTTATAGCACTTTACCAGAAGATGTCCTAAAATTTGACACCCTAAAAAATAGCTGACATATTGGAAATTTTAGAGCATTTTTAATGAAAAATTGATTTTTAGACTCTATAAATGTTATATCAAGCAACAAAACCTTCCTTACAACAGTAGCAACATTGTAGAACACATTTGAAAAGTAACTTGATTTTCACTCACCTTAATTTATTCACCACATCAAAACACAAGAGACGCTATTGCACCGTGTGCATGCACATTACAACTGTTGTTTTGGCGCGTTTTTTACCAACTGAGTAAGAAAGTCGGGGTGATTGATTTCAGAACAAATGAAAGATGGCGTTACTACCACAAATCTACTGAATTGCGAATCCATTTTCTTAATTTTTAGCTTTATTGATAAAACCTGTCAAATATACGGAGTGTCAATTATAGGGTCAGTTACCTTATAACAAGAGCAAAATAAAGGGTACTTAAACAGTGGTGTATAAAACCTTATATGTGGTGACTGCTCAAAAACTTACATTGGTAGAATCTTTAAAAAACGTATAGCAGAACACAAAAGGGCTTTCAGTGATAGAAAAACAGATTCTTGGAAGGCACTTTACCTTCTAAATCATAATCATTGTTTTAATGACCAATTTGAAATTCTCCATATTAAAAAAGGCCTTAAGCTATCTTTGTTAGAATCTATGGAAATTAATAAATTAAAAATTACAGATGTAATTCTGAATTGCCAAATTGAGACAAACAGCTTTCTGCTCTTCAACTTAGTCAATTAGAGACCATAGTCAAGACCATAAAGTGTAGATGCATAGTAAAAATACACCACTAGAAAAGCACGTTGCCGAACCAGCTGTTATGATAATAAATTATAATTAATTTTGTAGAAGCATGAAAAACAAAAATTTTCGGTGTTTTATTGGTAAACAAAAATAATGTATTTCAATAGTACAAGAAACTTTTTGTGTAGTAATTAAAGTCTACAATGAAAAACTGCAGCCCGGTAGCTCTCATAAAAACCACCTACATTTTTTAATATAGTAGAAAGGAATTAGGAAGACATTTACGAGTATGGTCTGTTTAGTCTGGGAATACATGCAGAGAAATAGATCCAGCCTAAGATGTAACTAAAGATGATTGGATAAATTTATATCAAGATGAACAAGAATTCAAAAGCTAAGAGCAATGTATTAAAGTATTAATATCATTTAAAATTATTTGTAAGTTACTTGTAATAACTCTTCGATAAACAAAATTAGGGTATACATGGTCACAACAACATATTCACCAACAAGGACCAAAACACAATCTGAAATTGCTACTAAACTCTTCGAATGCTAAAGAGTTCAATTGACCTCTTTTTCTGCTTAATGCCTTCAAGCTCTAACAAAAGAAGAACACACCTTCTAGTGGGTCGTCAAGGAGAGAAGGAATTCTTAATACGAAGGCATCGATTAAAATACGAAACATTTATTTGATTAAATAAATGATGTTGCTTTCTATTAAAACCATATTAATATTATTATTTATTTTAGGGAAACCACATTGGTCGTATATGGATTTTCTCTTGTTGGTATGGTCCTCTTTACCTTTACCATATCTAGAGGAATTTATGTTGTATACATAATATCCGCAATTCTTGGGTAAGTTATCACTTTATATACTTTCTGCAACAGATTTCTACTAATCTCACAAAATGATAACTGATTCCTACTAACAAAAGAAAGTATTGCAGTCCATATCTGCAAGAGTAACACTCTTTTAGAAGGATTTGTCAAGATCACTCATACTGAGTGAAAAGAGATAATAATGAAAAATGTCACATTCATGAGAAGCAATACAATATCGATAGTAATTACAGCTACCATTGTTACAACGAATTGGGCATAAAATAAAAAATTCACATAGGGTAATCGTTTTAGCAGAATTACAATGACTTACTTAATCCATGCATAACTGAATTAAATAAGTATAGTTGAAGTATAAAAATAGCCTCAAATGCTAAATGAAAATTGAAAATAACCCGCCTGGCAATTAAATGCTCCTTAAATGTTACGTGTACTCAGTGCTTCTGGACGGAGTAGAAACGTGGACATTGAAGGTGGAAACTATCAAAACTTCAGGTTTTTGAGCTATGGTTATACAGAAGGATCCTGAATATACCATAGACAGACAAAGTCACCAATGAATAAGTACTGCGCAGGATGAACACAATCACGGATTTGGTCAACATCGTGAAGGGCCGTAAGCTGCAGTGCTTGGGACATATAATGAGCAATCAAGGCAGGTATAAGCTCCTCCAATGCATTTTGCAAGGTAAAATTGAAGGGAAAAGGGCCCCAGGACGAAGAAGAATATCCTGGCTTGCAACCAACAAAGTTATCATAGCCAGAACGATCGCCAACGTTCGGAACGGAGCGGCACCCTAAGAAGAAGAAGAATGACACCGACATTTGAATCACGTGTCTATTTTAAAGTTAAATTTAAAACCAATGTAGTCAAAATCACAAAATATTTCATAGTATAATTAAAAAATGAATATTAAAAAAAATTAATAATTACTTGTTAAAAGCACTTAAAAGTGCATACCGACAAACCGGCGCAGAAGGGAAACCAACAAACTCAACAGGTGGTGAGAGATGACAGATGTCGCGAAAATTTAAAAATGGTAGTGTATACTGTCCTAAACATTGGATGTATAGGATTGTAATATTTTAATAACTTATGTGATTATGAATTAACCATTTAATAATATTTGAAAAGCGGAAAAAAGAAAATACTATATTATTTGAATAAAAAGAATAGTTTTACACAACAAAAAAGTCGTCAGGGTAATCATGACAGAAAATGCAAAGGAATTGACAATACCCACTCTATCCATCATTCAAATGAAAACAATATTAATGAAAAATTTATTCTTCTTCTTCTTCTTCTTCCAATGGCGCTACAGCCCAAATTGAGCCTTGGCCTCCTGTAACTTCTGCCTCCAACAAAGGCGATCACGCGCCACTCGTCTCCAAGCCCTGACGTTCAATAAGTTGTTTTTGTATTATAAATGAAAAATTTATACGGTGTTTTATATAAAAAGATGTAATAAACCTAATGAATGTGTAGAATCACTAGAATGTTTACAAGTTAAAGACTGTGACACAACTACATGAAGTGTGAAACAATTCATTAATTTAGGTACTGTACTCATCCAAACTAAGTGGAAAAGCATGCGAGAGGCCTATGTTCAGCAGTGGACGTTAGAGGCTAGTTGATGATGATTGATGATGACTCATCTAAACAACAAAAAGGTTTTGCATTCTGTCTCTCATGAGAAAATAAGACTATTCTCAGTTTTAAAAGTATTCTTCTTCTTCTTCTTTGGGTGCCGTCTTCAATGAAGGTTGGCGATAACCTCAGCAAAATCATTTCTGTCCCTGGCTTTTCTTATTAAAGATTGAGAATCCAAACCAGTCCACTCACGAATGTTCTTCAACCAGGACGCCTGCCGTCTACCAGGACCACGTTTTACTTCTACCTTCCCCTCTATAAGAAGCTTCAGTAGCTGGTATTTCTCATTTCTGTATATGTGTCCCAAATATGAGTAATCATATTTGGGACAAAACCATTAAAAGTATTCTGATAAGAAAATAATGGTAATATGACATCAAACAAAATGATAGGTAATATAAGGTGGCTATTCCAAAACAATTAATAGCTGAGATAAAGAAAATCAACCTGTCTGCTAAAAACATGATGATCTCAAGTGTTATTTACCCTAACAATTATAAAACTAAGGGAAGTGGAGCGGAAAAAGGGGACAACCCACTCACAAAGCAAATTCCCAGAACCCAGAGGGAAAACACGGGAAAAAAGACTCCGACTTCTACTTATTGTGCAAAATGAGTGAATGATAAATTTTACTGAGATGGTCAATATCATTTCGCCTATACATAATTGAAGGTTATTTGAAAATGTGACACATCTCAAGGAAAGTTCGTTTGAAATAATTATTTTTAGTGGCTAAAATCTCTGTAATTTGTTGATAAAACGTATGTGGATAAGGCTCACGTGTGTTTATAACAATTTTTATTAACATATTACAATTGTATACATCAATGTTACAAAAATGTTACAACATACAAAAATAATGTGAATGTTAATATGCAAAAAGCACTAACTGACAACAAACAAATTATGGGTGTAAATAAAAAGTAGTATAATATAAAAAACACATTACTGAAACCAGCTCAAGAGTGTTTGATACAACATAGGTCAGAGGCTAAAAAACAGTGGATGACAGAAGAAATACCATTACAGATGGAAGAAAGAAGGAAATATAAAGGAGAAGATCTACAGAAGTATAAAGAAATACAACGAATAATTAAGAAAAAAAAACAAAACAGCTAAGGAAATCTATTTGATAAAACAATGTAAAGACATAGAAGAACTAGAAACAAAATATGATGTGAGAAATATGCACAAAAAAATAAGAGAAGTGACTGGAATGGGTCCAAATAGAGAGCAAGGACGCAAAAGACAAAAAAGGAGTACTACTAATAGATTTTCCAGAGAAATTAAGACGATGGAAGGAGTACGTTAGATAATTTTTCCAAGATGAAAGAGGTGAAATGCAGAAAATACAAGAATTAAATCCTTTAGAGAGACAGAAGATCACGATAGATGAAATCGAATATGCTATTAAAAACTCAGACAATAAGGCAGCTGGATTAGACGAAATACCAGTAGAACTGTTAAAACTAGTGGAAGAGAATAATTTGGAAGTATTATCAGATTTATTCAACACGGTGTACGATACGGGAATAATACCACAAGCGTGGCTGAAGTCAGCATTTATAACCATCCCTAAAAAACAAGCAGCAAAAGAGTGCTCTAATTATCGAACACTGAGCCTCATGAGTCATACTTTAAAAGTACTGCTGAAAGTAATACATAAGAGAATATACGAAAGGTTAGAGGAGGATATTAACCAGATGCAGTTCGGGTTCCGAAATGGACTCAGTACTCGAGAAGGGCTATTTGCAATCAACATATTAATTCAGCGATGTCGGGATGTAAACGTTGATCTACACTTGTGATTTATTGTGCTTTGTTGACTACGAATCGCAAAAAGCGCTATGGCAAAATTAACAAAAATTTGGAAAAGCCATGAAATTACTACCGATACAAAAATGAGACTAGTAAGAAGTCTAGTTTTTCCAGTTTTTACTTATGCATCGGAATGCTGGACCCTTACTGAGAAAGACAAAAAGAACATAGATGTATTTGAGATGTACTGCTGGAGACGAATGCTGAGAATACCATGGGTGGCCCGAAGAACAAATGAATCCATACTGGTCCAGCTAAACATAAAGAAAAGACTAAGAACACAAATAACAGAACAGATAATAAGCTATTTTGGACATGTTCTTCGAAGAAATGGTCTTGAAAAACTTACCATCCAGGGAAAAGTAGAAGGCAAAAGAAGTAGAGGTAGATCTCCTACACGATACACGGACCATATTGTTGCTACCATTGGCGCTCCATTGTCAGAATGTGCTAGATTGGCAGAAGATAGAAAAACGTGGAGCAACATTGGAAAAATTACCTAACAGCTTCATGATATCACGATACCTGCATCAGGTTAACGACTAAGAAGAAGTTGACTACGAAAAAGAATTCGATAAAGTAAGACATAAAAAACTAATATCAATACTTATAAAAAGCACACTGACAGTAAAATCATAAATATAGTGTAAACATTATATTGGAACCAAACTGCCATAGTTCAAATTTATGGGCAACACTCAGAAGAAATGAAGATCTGTAGAGGAGTTAAACAGGGATGTGTTTTATCGCCACTTTTGTTTAACTTATATTCTAAAGAAATTTTCCAAAACATGCTCAATAATATTAAAGCGGGAGTTACCGTTATCGGAAAACTAATTAATAACTTACCATATACAGACGATACTGTGATCATAGCAACGAGTATATAAGATCTACAACATCTTATCGAAAGCTTAAGTATGAATAGTGCTGAAATGGGTTTAACTATAAACGCTAAACTTTCGAAACCATCAAGAAAAGGAAAACGGCGTATCTAGGTCACATCATGCGAAATGAAAAATACCAGTTCCTCCAATTTATAATCGAGGGTAAAATTGAAGGAAAGAGAGGAATGGGACGCAAGAAAATGTCCTGGCTCCGAAACATAAGGCAATGGACAGGGATTAACGACATACAATCTCTGATACATATTGCAAGAAATAGAGAATTAATGGAAAATGTGATCGCTAACATCCATTAGTGGATTTGCATCTGAAGAAGAAGAATAAACGCTAAAAAAAATAAGTACATCCTAATTACAAAAAGACCACAAAATATACATCACCTATTGATAATCAATGGTAACGTGATAGAACAAGGAGAAAAATATTAGTACTTAGGAACTTTGATTAATGAAACCAATGATCATACTGCAGAAATAAACAGGCGAATAGAGATTGACAGATCAGCATTTATACGAATAAAGCCACTCCTAACGTGCAAAAATCTAAATTTGGAGATCAGACTGCGTACCATTCGCTGTAATATATTTTCAATATTATTATATGGAGCTGAGACTTGGACATTAAAAAAATGTAATTTAAAA